ATTCAGATTTTTTGGTTTTTTTATGATTCAGTCTTTGAAGATTTGTAAGTTCCTAGGCATTTATCTATCTTTCTAGATTGTCCAATTTATTTGTATGTAATTGTTAGTAATTGTCTCTTACGATCCTCTGTATTTCTGTGGTATCAGTTGTAACTTCTCTTTCATTTCTGATTTTATTTCTTTAAACCCTCACTTTTTTTCTTGGTGAGTCTAGCTACAGGTTTGTCAATTTTGTTTATTCTTTCAAAGAACCAACACTTCATTGATTTTTTAAAATTATCTTTTTAGTCTCTATTTTATTTATTTCTGCTCTGATATTTATTATTTCCTTCCTTTTACTAACTTGGGCTTTGTTTGTGTCATTTAAACCCAGTGTTTCCTTATTTGATTTTTCTGTCTGGACTATCTATTAACTGATACAAGTGGGTGTCAAAGTCTCCTACTATTATTGTATTGCTGTCAGTCTCTCACTTTAGGTCTCTTAATATTTGTTTTATGTTCTTTGGTGCTCCTACGTTGGGTGCATATATATTTAGAAATGTTTTACCTTCTTGAGGTTGATTCCTTTATCATTATGTAGTGCCCTTCTTTGTCTTTTATTATAGTCTTTGTTTTAAAGTCTATTTTGTCTAATATGAGCATAGCTACACCAGCTTTCTTTTCATTTCCTTTTGCAGGGAATATCTTTTTTCCATCCCTTCACTTTCAGTCAGTGTGTGTCCTTACTTATGAAGTGAGTCTCTTATAGGCAGTATATAAAAGTGCCTTGCTTTTCTATCCATTCAGTCACTCTGTGATTTTTTTATTAGAGAATTTATTTGCATTTATTTTAATTATTGATAGGTAGGTACTTATTGCCATTTTTTTACTTGTTTAGTGACTGTTTTTATAGTTCCTTTCTATTCCTTCCTTCTTCTCTTTCTTTCTTCCCTTCTGGTTGATGACTTTTTTTGGTGTTATGTTTAGATTCTTTTCTCATTTTCTTTTGTGTATTTAATATAAATTTTTGCTATGTAGTTACTGTAAGGTTCACATATATCATCCTATGTATATAACTGTCTCTTTTAAGTTGATAGCAACTTACATTTGAACATTTTCCAAACCCTACATTTTAACAACCACACCCCTTCATGTTTGTTTTTGATGTCACATTTTACATCTTTTTCCTTTATTTATCTCTTAACTAATTATTGTAGTTTTAGTTAATTTTACTTTTGTCTTTTAACCTTCATAGTAGCTTTATATATTAACCCATTACCTTTACTGTTTATTTACCTTTTCCAGTGAGATTTTTACTTTTGTACTCTTTGTTGTTGTTGTTGTTGTTGTTGTTAACAATTAGTGCCATTTCTTTTCTGCTAAAAGAAGGCCCTTTAACATTTCTTATAAGGCCAGTTTAGGAGTGATGGATTCCTTTAGCTTTTGTCTGGAAAACTCTCTCTTCTTCAATTCTGAATGATAACCTTCAGGTAGAGTATTTTTGGCTGGAGGTTTTTTCCTTTCAGTACCTTGAATATATCATGTCACTCTCTTCTGGCCTGCAAAGTTTCTGCTGAGAAATCTGCTGACTATGGTGTTTCCCTTGTATGTAACAATTGGTTTTTCTCTTACTACTTTTAAGATTCTCTCTGTAACTTTTGACACTTTAATTATAATGTGTCTTGGTGTGGATCTCTTTGAGTTCATCTTATTTGGAACTCCCTGGGCTTCCTGGACCTAGATATCTGTTTCCTTCCCTAGGTTAAGGAAGTTTTCAGTCATTATTTCTTCAAATAATTTTCTGCCCATTTCTCTTTCTTTTCTCTTTCTGGAACACCTATAGTGCAAATGTTATTCTGTTTGATGTTATCTCATAGGTCCCATAAGTTATCTTCATTTTTTAAAATTCCTTTTTCCTTTTGTGGCTCTGTCTGGGTGAATTCCATTGCTTTGCATCTAGCTTGCTGACCCATTCATCTGCTATATAGATAAATAGATAAACATCTGATGTTTAAATGCTCTACTGTATTTTTCAGTTCAGTTATTATATTCTTCAGCTCTGTGGACTCGTGTTTGGTACTTATTATATTTTCTATCTCATTGTTGAACCCTTACTGTGTTAATCCATTCCTCTCCCAAGTTTGGTAAGCATCTTTATGACATTTACCCTGAATTCTTTATCAGGTAGATTACTTATCTCCATAGCATTATGGTCTTTTTCTGAGTCTCTCAGTCTTGGAGTGCCCTTGTGTAGCTGATGAAACTTCTCGTTCAACCTTGCCCTAGCTCTTGGTTGTTTCTTGAAACTTTGTGATCGTCTAATCAGCCTAATTTATTATTGATATGTCCTTGTTATTGAGGATGTACCAAGGCCTGTCAGTGTTCCAAGGGGAGAAATTTCATTTAGCACCAATTTTCAGGCTAACCTGAAGCTAGACCCTCAGGCAGCAGATTTTAAAATATGCAAATATATTGGGGTGCCTGGGTGCCTCAGTAGGTCAAGCATCTGCCTAGGGCTCAGGTCGTGATTGAGCCCCATGTCAGGCTCCCTGTTCAGTGGGGAGTCTGCTTATCCCTCTCCCTCTTCTCCTCCCCCCTCACCCTACTTGTGCTCTCTCTCTCTCACAAATAAATAAATAAAATCTCTTAAAAAATATATTCAAATATAGTCTTGTGCAGCCACAATCATAATCCCTGCTGGCCTCCAGACCAAAAGATCTGAAGATATCCTCTGGGTGACAGTTGCAAAACTTGGGACTCTACATGAGTGTATAAGCTCTTTCTGGGAGGACTTATTGAGCTGTATCGAGGCATAGGAGGTGCACAAGGATGGTGTCTTCCTGCTTATGTTCTCTGGGAGCATCTCTGTAGCCTCTAGATGTAGGGAAAACCTGAAGCCTGCTCCTCAGGCTGAAGCTGCAGGCTAAGTAAATAGGTTTTTTTCACAGGAAGACACGGTTGTGCTTCAGTCTGCTGTCTGCCATGCCCTGAAGGGGTGGCCTGCCAGGTGCTGCCTTTCTGACTGTTACATTGCCTTGGAGGTCAGGAATGTCAGCCCCCTTGGCCCGCGGGTCCAGGCAGTCAAGGAGCATCCCCTGTGTGGATTGCATATATCCGCTGGCTTTAACTAGGCAGCTGGAGAATGTAGGGGGTGGGACACTCCAGCTTCAGAAAGGCAGCAGGAAAATGTCTTGACTCCCTGTGCCTGGGGGCTTCGGGACTGCAACAGGAGGAAGGAATATCCTGTCTGTGCATATTCTGGCTTTAGGCTGAGAGCAGGAAAATGCTGGGACTGCTCACAGTTGTCAGCCCCATCCAGAGTGCAGGAGTCTTGCAACCCCCTGTGCTCGCCAGCTTTAGCTAAGTGTGGGAAAATGCTGCCACTGCTTGCTCTTGCCTACCCCAGCTAGGGAGCAGGGAAGTGTTGCAACTGGCTCCCGCTCTGGCTCCAGCAAGGCAGCCAATTGCCGCTGCTTGTCTTAGCAAGGTGGTGGTAGGAGGGTTTTGCATCTGAGTTCGCTCACCTGTGCTAGCAGGGTAAGTGGAGGGTGAAATATTGGCATCCACCAGTGACATCTCCCATCTCTGGGGAGAGTTCATCTGCCCCTCCCCTCCATTTGCTTTTAGATTAGCCAATAAATCTCCTACACGTATAGTCTAGGTGCTTTTCAAACTGTTATTTTTTTCCTGGGTCTTCAGGTGAAACTGCACACAAACCCTTTAAAAGGGGCATCTTGGGGCTTTTTGAGCAGAGGGGGCTACATGGCCCGTAGGCTGTCCCCTCCCTGTCACCATGCTCAGCCTTGGTCTGTTGAATATTTTCCATCACTCTGTAAGGTTTTATTTGATGAAAAGTTTCCTGAGGATAAAACAAATCTGGAAATCTTGGGTTAGCTGCTTAGTGAGGAGGTAGGCTACTTGTGGGGCTGTCAGCTGTGTGCAGGGCTGTGGGCTCTCCCCTGGGTCTGGCTTGCCAACTCCACCTCTGACCAACCTTCTTTCTGGCAGCTGTGCCTTTATGTAGATATGTTAATAGCACTGATCCAGTTACACTACGTGGGTGTTCTTCTTGTTCTGAGCCAGGAAACTTGAGTATCTGAGGTGCTGTTACCCGAATGTTCTCTGAGGCCCTTCTTGCCATAACAGCATGATCCAGGTTTGCCATCTTCGTCTGCAAAGCAATGCTCCTTTTCCTGTGACTGAGACCCTGTCATCAGGGTGAGGGCCTGGATGCAAGTCCCCGTTTTGTCTGTCGCTCTCTGGGTGACTCTGGCCCTCCTTACACTGTGGCTGCAGGAGAGGGGAACCTGAAAACCTCATTCCCTCCACTCCTCCAGGGCTCAGAGCAGCCCCTCAACAAACACTGATTTAGGGAAAGTACCAATGAATGAATAAACAAATCATAATTCTAAAGGAAAATTGCCTGTTGAATAATAAATTCAAATTAAGAGACATGTAAACTTTTAAAGGATGGGAGAAGGAATAGGAGATAAGATAAGCTTACGTTTCCATTTCCTTATCCATAAAACAAGTAAAATCCCTAATCTGAGGTTATATTACAGCCCTACCGTGATGGGGAATTAAATCTCAAGTGTGTTGAAGGGCATTTCCAGAATGCAGAGGTTAAACATGAAAGGCTCAATTTTTCAAAGGCAGGTAAAATGTTAGTACCCAAGTAAGAGTTTTTAAAATGAGTGATTCAAGACTCAGCAGAAAGCTGAAATGGAGACATTTCCCTCTTTCCGGTGTCCTATCTATTTAGAAAGGATGCTTTTACCCTTTCTAAGCTCTAACTGTGCTGTAAACCCATGAATCATTCCTCCTGGGGAAAATAGGCCTTTTCCAAAATGTTTGTTCTACATGGGCTATATGTAAAAGTTATCCTATATTGATCTATGATTAATAAGGAAGAATTTCTGTAATGCTTTCAGGCAGATTTGTCCAGAGTGCCAGGATTCAGAAGTCCATTCCAAAGCAGCCCAAAAGCCTCCAGGCTGCTGAGGGGCCCATGCAATGCAGTGATGTCCCTTGCTTCCTTGAGATCATTTCTGGTGCTGTGGAAGCAGCTGGAATTGCTAAAGGAGCACTGGGGCGGACTCAAACTGCAAGTCCAGGAGAGCGATTCTGTCTCCTTCCACAAACAGTTCTCAGAACTCTACGGGTGAGTGTTGCTGAGGTAGAAATTTTTGTGAATGAGTGGCATCTGGGGTCTGATAAATTCCTCCCCTTACTCTGAGGGTGAGATTTGGTCCATAATCCTGGTACACCCAGCCCCACTGAGCGCAGAGGAAGCGGGGCAATGTGTCCTATAACCAGCGCTTTACAGGAAAAGCTGGATTCTGTTGACTGCAGGGACAGTGCCGGGTTCCACTAAGGAACACTGTGTATCATTTACCTAGAGTTCTGTCTCTGGGAACTTGAGCTTCTCAAGTGTCCCCATGGTGCTGGCTCCTCAGCTTTTTTAGTTCATAGGATCCCAGTGAGCACTGGGTAGGGGGATGATGCTGCCATAAACTAGTCCCCATTTTCCGCCCCATTAGACCCAAGTGTTGAGTCTCTGAGAGTTTCATGAATTGCCGCCAGAGGTATAATATGGTGCAACATGAGGTTTTAGGTATGTGGGATGGTGGGGTGTTTTCACAGCTTCAGGCTCTAGCTAGGATGATTTAGCTGGCAGGAAAGACATGTTGCTTCTGCCATGTGTCTGTTATCAAACAAGCATTCACTAAGCATCCACTCACCATCCGACCTTACTGGGCACAAGAAAGTTCTCTTTGGTGGCATAGTCCCAGTGGTCTATCTTACAAGTTATTACGGTCAACTTCCCTGGTAACTAGGGAATGAGAGAACTTGTCAATATTTTGAAGAATGAAGACTGAAGTTATATGTATCCAATGGGAAAAGGCCTCAGGATTTAATATTGACTAAGGGAGTGGCAACTGTGGTAAAATTAGATGTCAATGTGAGTGACTGTAATGGGTTGGGAGGTTTATACGTGATGACAGAAAACAGAACGTGAATGGAAATGATTGTCAGAGAATCTGAATAGGAAAAAAATATGTTTGTTTGCTAATTTCTGTCTCTCTTCTTCAATAGAACTGACATTCTCTACCCCAGCATGAAAGCTATAGCTAGGCGGATGGGGAAAGAAGATGAATTCGAAGGTATTATAATAAGTAGTCAGTCTATTCTTCCCCCCAACGGAGCTTCAGAAATTGAAATAAAAACCCAACAGGTATGCAGGAACTATTTTGAATGTGACTTTGAAATTTTGCTTTATGGCATAAGCATGTAAAACTACAGGTACACCTAAGTGGCATTTTTTTCTAAGACATTAAGTGGAGATTGAAGGCATGTAAAGCATTGAACAGGCTCAGAGGGAACTAAGTATTTAAAAGCATGTGGAGCTTTGATTATGCAAATAACTATCCCTAATACCTCCATTTTGTAAGTCTAGATCTTCATATTTTGATTTTCCTCTTAATAAGGTAGACTACCACAAAAAAAAGAGACTATGATAGAGAACATACTAACATCTTAAACTTAAAATCTACCACACAATTATCCACTCCCTCCAACGCACACACACCCATGAAAATGGAATATTCAAAATAGCTCCTGTGATTGTTTTTCTGAGAATAAGACAACATGATTTACACACTAGTCCATTTGGTGTGCTAGATGTGAGAGGTTGTTTTCCCAAGTGTTTGTTCACCTTGGCCCTGGGACATAGTCTCCACATGCCTGTGTTCCCTTGTGTCTGTAACAGGCAAGGCTGTGTTCTCCTTGTTACTGTAACAGGCAAGCAAAACTTCTAGCTGTTTGAGTGTCAATGGACAGATTCTCATCCCCTGAAGATAAAAAATTCAGTGGCAATCTGCCCCCCCACCCCCACAACACACACACACACACACACACCCCAGTCCCAAGCCCATTGCTTACCCTTCTGAGCCCTGGTTCTCTCTTGTACCTGGGGTCCTGTAACAGGGAGAAACATCGGCTCTACAAGCATAATGGGTAAAGTAAGGGCCCATGGTTATTGGGAGAGTTTTCTCCTGGTCATGTTTGGAATTTTAAAACTTCTCATGAAATCCTCCTTGATAACTAAATTGAGTTTCAGGCCCAGGGGTTTCTCTTGTAATGACATCTCATGAAATTCCTGACCACATTTAAGAGACCCCCAAAACATATGAGGTCACCTCAGACATTGAGCACTTTGCAATTTATCACGACTTGGTAAAAAAGGGTTGTATTTTATCAACTGGGATGTGGGCCAGGAAGAAAAGATGTTGGTCTTCAGAGAGGTATATCTACCCTTGCAGAAGCACTTGGAAACCCAAGAAAGGAACCCTTCCTTCTTCCCTGAGAGAGAGTAGCTGAAGGACAGGACCTAGCCCCAGACCCATCAGCAGGAATTTGACTTAGGAGCTCAGAGTATAAGCTGAATGTAGAAAGTGACTCTCAAACTTCTTACTCTAGCTTCAGAAACTTCTGGAAAATCTTGAAATTCATATGATCCAAGAAGTATTAAGAAAAGTTAACAGAGAGATAGCACTAGTGGTATCAGAAAAATCCAAGGAGCAGTGTACTCTCCCTACAGGTAAAGTATGTTTATTTTATTACTTCACAAAATAGCATTTATTTATTTTTCCTAATTATAAAAGCAATCCATGTATCATTTTCATCATAAAAAAAGTATCACAATGCCCAGAAAATGATATAAAAATTACTTTTTAACACCTTGGCCCAGAGAGAACTATTATCACTTTGATATATTTCCTTCTACTTAAAGTCTTTAAAATAGAAAACTTTCGTTAAGTTCAGTCTCAACTCTGCTAATTAACTCATAACTGAAATAAAGTTAAAATGGGTAAAACACATAAGCTTTTCTTATTTGTAATATATTTAAGTGTATATATATATATATATATACACACACACATATATATGACATATATGTCAAAATCTCACAAATAACATGTATTTAGGGTGGGAAGGCAATCAAAATTCTTTCCTTTCATCTGAAGTCTAAAGTCAGGCTCACTTCACGGACATGTGATCAGTGCACTTACATAGGACCCAGGAGTACTTGGGGTTTAATGCTCTATGGGTACCATCTTGAAACTCTCGATTTTAACTTAGAATTTGTGTTTTGTAACTGGAATTCAGTGAGTCCCTGGAGCATGCACCAAGGACTTGGAGCCTTTGCCTTACACACAGTTCCACTTCTTACTGCCTCCCCACCTTGCCAGGAGGGCTTCTCAGCTACCTACTCATCTGCTCTCTGGCACCCTAGGCACCCCCAACCTCCCCCTCAGCATCCCCACCCAGCAATTGCTGCCACCCTCCTCTCCACCGGGGGCCTGAGCAAGAGGAAGATCAGGATATGTGTACCTAGTAGTATCTCAAGGACCCTAGTCTGGCAACATCATGGTACATCTGATGGGTGACTCAGCGGGAGCAAGCCTATTGCCTATCCTTAGATTTGTACAATATCCCGGGATGGAGGTTACAATACCCTTTGGCTGGCCTGTCCACAGTGGGCCCGTGGGAAGGAAGGAAAGCTGCCTGGCTCAACTTCTCTGCCCCTGGCCAGGACATGGGGCCGCCGTCCCGCAGCTGCATATACACTCATGCTTCCGGTCACAGGCTGGAGCCCCTGGGTGCCTGGGAGGGTCGCACTTGCCTTGCAAGCATTCCTGTGCCCGAGGAGTACAACATTAAAAATGAATAAAAACACCATGCCAGGTGAAGAAACAGACTGCAGAAGAAAGGAAACACCATATTTTAGTACCTATAGTGGTGCTTTTTTCCTCTACTTTTTGAATAAGAAGCCCTGCATTTTTATTTTGCCCAGGGTGTCATAGATTATGTAGCTGGTCCTGTCTAAACTTCAATGTCTACTCCTGACTCCTACTAATTCTGTAGGAAAAATCCATAACCTTTAAATGACGGAGAAGTTGTTTAACTAGGAAACCAAATTAGATTTTCCTTTTGAGACAAAGTCCGCAGATACTGTAATGTGCATTAAGAATCTACATCCTCACCTAAGACATTGTCATTTTTCTCAGTGCTTCCAGGAACTGAATTCTGTCAACAGGGCTTTGGGAAAAGGCTATGCAGTGAGAGGGCAAGCCACTTCTCAGCTGGGGATGTCACCAGAGAGCTAAATGTCACCAGAGAGCTAAGTGAGGTTGAACTTCAATTACAGAGCATTTAACAAGACACAAAGCACTTGTTGTCTGTGCTGTGTTTGCTGCATCCAGGAGGCTCCCTTTGAGTCTTGGGAGAAAATCCACAGGCATGCAGCAGGTGCAACCATGTGCATGTTTCAGGCTGTGGTTTAATGAGACACCAGGATGGTGGGGGAAGGGAGGAAGCATTTTTGCTTTGAGGTTCCGCTGTGTGCCCCCTGGTGCAGGATGCTCATCAGCTGTGCTTGGAAAGAGCCTTCAGTAAGAGGCTGGTGGGAGTCAGGCACAGGGGAGGGGTAGAGTTATTGTTAATGGTGGTAAGGTTGATATTACCAAAACTTACTTTGGCTAGAGTATACTGGCCAATTCTAAGCTCTTGTTCAGATTCTATACTCATGACTTTTAAAACAAATGCCGATAGTGAAGGTGTTTTGTTATTGTTGGTTTTGTTTTTGGCCTGTTAAGCATGACTCACTGTGGGTGTCCTCCCGTAGTGAGTTACCCCAGGGCAAGTGATGGAGTCCCCACTGTGTGCCAGGGGTGCTTTTATAGACATTTCTTCAGTGTATTCTTCCTGAGACCTGTGGACCGGGAACCTTCAAAGAAGGCAATAAAACCTTGGAATCCCCACCCACCTACTGTGCATCTCAGCAGCAAGAAGCCACCATAGTGGATGGGGCTTCCAATAGGGGCCGCTTCTTCATGCAGAGACCACCTTTTGTGGCCAGGGTTAGCTTGGCACTAGGAGTTTCTAAAGAGGGAGTTGGGAATGGAGAGTATTGAGACCCAGGGGACATCCCAAGCTCTTGTCCTTCCCTCAGGGTCTTCTCTGTCCCTGTTGGCCAACTCTGGTGTCTACATTTATTACCAGCCAGAAAGAAACCCTCCAATACTTCTCTGTCTCCTCCCTCCTTCCACCTTGTCTTGGAGCTTCATCTTCTTGTATAACTTCTGAAGGGGTTTCCAGTTTATCAGTGAGCATCTGAAAATGTGGCAGTCACACCTGGTCCAGTGCTAGTTTGTCAGAGCTGAACTGGTGCTCCCCTGAGAACTTTAAAAAGTTGCTCCAGACATCCTTGTTAAGTCTTAGGGCTTGGCTTAGCAGAGAGTTGGGCTCCATGGATTCAAAAAGGCTCTGCTATTCCCCATATTTGACATTTTGGCATTGAAGTAATTCTTAATTGACTTTCTCAATTTCTCTGAGCATTTATAAGGTCAGCAATCTCCAGAGTGGAGTGCCTATATCTCAGGGGTGTGGGAAGAAAATATTAGAGCTTCTAAATAGATTAAATCCATATATAAGAAGTCACATGTCACACTCTACACTGAGGTGTCCCGAAATGACCACTCTGAGGCAATCCACAAGCAAGCACTAAGAATTAGTGGAGACACTTCTAATCCTGGTATATGCTTATTGTCAGCCACATTATAAGGTTTAAAAGATAACTACACCTGAAAAGAAGTCAGACAAAAAAATTTAAAAGGTCAAGAAAACTCTTAGGAATGTAGATTGAGATCCATTCTCATTGTTGATGAGCTTCACCCTAAGCATACCATGCTATACAATATTAGCCAGTGATAGTATTGTAGGTAGTTAGAAATACATAAATATACACATGTTAACAGTGAGTGGACAAAAATGTTTTGCTTGAAGGAAGCATAATCCAAACACTTAGGAGAGCATGGTCAAGCCCAGCATTCCCAGCAGTGTGCCCTAGAGCACCAGTTTCTTAACATGTTAGTGCAGTGGTTCTCTCTATCACCCTGTACTAACAGACTCACAGGCTACCTGACGCTTTCCATTCCCTTGGTAACACAAACTGGCAAAATACTCACTGATCACAGTCTTTGGGTTCCCTATGTTTACCTAGTATCACTGATCATTGTTTGCTCCACACCTGTTCGTGCCAGTTTTGCTTGTCATTGTGTTTGAGTAATTTAAGTATTATTTAAACCAATGACATAGGAGTACAAAAAGAGATCTGTTCTATAAAAACCAAGTCGAAATGGATAAACTGTGGTACATCCAGTCAATGGAATAATATTTAATGCTAAAAAGAAATGAGCTATCTAACCATGAAAAGCATGGATAAAAATGTCTATTACCGAAGCAAAAGAAACCAACCTGAAAAGACTACATATTGTATGATTCCAAATATATGACTTTCAAGAAAAGGCAGAACAATGGAGACAGTAAAAAGATCAGTGGTTGCCAAGGGTTTAGAGGGGAGAGAAGGATGAAAAGGCAGAATACAGAGGATTTTTAAGGTAGTGCAACTATTCTGTATGATAGTCTAATAGTGGAGAGATGCCAATTATACATTTGTCAAACCCATAGTTTCACCAAGAGTGAACTGTAATGTAAACTATGGACTTTGGGTGATAATGACATGTCAGTGTATGCTCATCAGTTGTAACAGACACACCACACTGGTGTAGAATGTTGATAGTTGGGGAGGCTGTGTGTTGGGGGTAGAGAGGGCAGGGAATATGTGGGAACTCTTTGTACTATCTGCTCAATTTTTCTATGAACTTAAAACTGCCCTAAAAAAATGATACATTTGGATTGTTCCATTGTCTTTTTCTTTCCATAAAAAGAAAGAAACAAGCAAACCAATAAAACCACACACTAGAAAACCACACAATGTGTTATGGTTTCCAGAAGAAAGATAGTACAGAACTCCAATGAGTGGGTGCATACAAAGAAAAGGCCTAAGTTCTATGTTAGAAAATTGGCAAATGTTTGTATATTTTTAAGTTAAATAAAATGTTTAAGATACCGCAAGTCATTTTTTTAAAGCATTCTCTGGTTTAACAGACTTCTTTTGATTAACAAACCAACTCTTAGTCTTGATTGCAAGGAAAGGACTTCTGTGTTTTGCAAGGGTTGGGGGGAAGGGGAAGATTTTGTTTATTTGTTTTTTGCCAAAACAAGTTTGGGAAACTTGTGGTAAGTAATGTTAAAAAGGTTTCTTTGCTCCAGGCCTTCTCAGAGCCTTTACTATCATAGTGTGCACTATAAAGCTCCAAAAGAGAGTGTATGAAATATTCTTTATTTTTTAACAATTTTTTATTTAAATTCAAGTTAGTTAACATATAGTGTATTATTAGGTTCAGGGTAGAGTTTAGTGATTCATCAGTTGCATATAACACCCAGGGCTCATTACATCAAGTGTCCTCCTTAATGCCCATCACCCAATTACCCCATCCCCCCACCCACTGTAATGTTCTTTAAATTTATTTAACCACAGAACACTTTTCTCCCCTCATGAGTATCTATCATCAACTCAAGGGGCTAGTGTTCTGGGGAGCAGTTTGAGAAACACAGGAGTAGAAAATACATACATACATACATATGCTTAAAGCAATAAGGTTTCAACGTATCCACCTTCTGGGGACCCCCGGCTGGTCAGGAGAATGTTGGTTGGCAGTTGGATGCCTTCAAGTTTCAGTTCTGCTCAGCTCAGGACCCAGGAGCCACTTAGGCAGATGCTAGTGGTTGTGTTAGAGAAGTGAAATGCTATGAAACCAAGATGCCTTTCCTAGAGGGAGGAGGCTGACTAGAGGGTAGGGAGAGTGTTCATAGAGGGAGAGAGGGGAAGTGGTTTGGCCACCAGGAAGTCAAAGTTTCCTCCAGTCAAAGCACCTGGGAACAGAGGGAGAGGAAAGAACAAAACGCTAATTTAACCCCCAGCGTGCTGTCTCTTTCCCACCTCCATGCTGCCATCTAAAACTGCTTCATCTTAAAGAAGCCATGACCACACACACACACACACACACACACACACACACACACTCACACTGAAAATGAGACCCATTTGGAGACCACAAACTCCACTTGGCCAGGAATTACTTCTCTTGGATGAATTCGACTCTCCCTGGCTTCCCCTGACTCCTGCCTACAGAAGTACTTGCATGTTTGAACTTGAACTCATGAGGAAGAAGTATGGCGGGAAGATTTCCCAGCACTTTGGTAAAATACTTAATACTTCCCCTTCAGCTGAAGAAAAAAAATACGTCCCCTTCAGCTTAGCCCAGAGCTAAATCCTAAAACCACTTCTGTGGGCATTTGCCAGGTGTTGGCCCCCAAACCAGAAGTGTGTGGCAGATGTGGTCCCTCGCCAGGCTTTTCTGTGAGCCAGAGACCTACCGCTAATGTACCCTGGAAAAAGTATCCAATTTCTTGTCTGAAAATTTTCTGAAATATACATGAGCTCTGTTTTGTCAAAGCTTAGACTTAACAAAAAGTCTTAAACATCTTAAGAAGTGTGAACTTCTAGGCACATTACCTCTGTTGGATTTTCCACGTCAACTATGCCAGGACAATGGTATTATGTCTACTCACCTTTATTATCCTAAAGGAAAAACAAAGTCAGATTTCTTGTTTATGATGGAAAATAGCCAACTGTGGAATTCTGAAACCCCAGAATTTTCAAAATCAGGACCACCCAATAAATAAGATAATTGCAAGGGGCTCCTGCTCTGTCAAACCACATTTCTGAGAGGACTGTGCTGGATGTTTCCCCTTGTGTGCACCACATCTACTGTCAGAAAAAATGAAAGTATGAGTAGGAAATCACATCTGAAATTAGAAACAGCTGGAGACAGGGAGTGGCCCTGTGTGTACTCTTGCTGCGGCCAGCACCCCCACAAGAGAAAAGGGAGAGGGGCAGGGCTTGGCTTCTACCTCTGACTCCATAGGTTTCTTTTTGTTTCCAGACTCCCCTGGGGCCATGCACAAGGAAGTAGACCCTACCCAACATAATTAAACATACACATGTGCTCTTGCTCTCCCATATGGAAGTTAAAGAGTGTTGATATATTTATACAGCTCCAGCACTGTCATATTAAGTTTTGATTTTTTTAACAGCTAATACATTCACCTAATTCAAAACTCAAAACAATATAAAATATATATGTTTAGAGATCTCGTTGCCACTACTGACCCCCTTTTGTCACCCCATGTAACCATTTTTGTTAGTTTTTTTAATATATACTATCAGCGCTTCTTTATGCATATACTAATTCATTCTTTCATCCAATATCTATTTACTGAGCACCTAGTATGTGCCATACTACTATATTTTAGGCACTGTTTGGGGAATACATCCTTACTTTCATGGAGCAAAACTCCTTACTCTTGTGGACTTTATCATCTGGAAGGGGATAGGCAGATAATAAGCAATAAACAGAAGAAATAAGAAAACAATGGAGTAAGGAAGATGGTGGTGTGGAAGTTTGAAGCAGGCACATTGCAATTTTAAATAGGGTGGTCAGGATAGACTTCATGGAGAAAGTGACACACAAAGTTTGAGGGTGATGAGGGAGTTAGATACTCTGTGGGTATCTGGGCAGACAGATAAACAGACAAAACAACAGCCCATCCAGAAGAACAGCCCACACAGAGGACCTAAGTACCTACCATGTTGATGGAACAGAAAGACCCAAGTGTGGCTGGAGTGGAGAGAGTGAGGGAGAGTAGTAGGAAGTGAAACCAGAGAGGAAGAGTGAAAAGAGGACAGATCACATAGGGCCTACTCTTAATGTTTACTCTGAATGTAATGGGGAGCCTGTCCCAGATTTTGAGTGACATGACCTGACATATTTTATTTTATTTTATTTTAATTCTAAAAGATGTATTTATTCATTTGAGGGGGAGGGGGCAGAGAGAAGCGGGGAGAGGGAATCTCAAGCAGACTCCCTGCTGACTGTGGAGCCCAGCTCGGGGCTAGACCTCACAACCCTGAGATCATGACCTGAGCCAAAATTAAGAGTCAGATGCTTAACTGATTGAGCCACCCAGGTGCTCCTGATCTGACATATTTTAATAGAATCTCTCTGGCTGTTGTTTGAGAATGGACTGTAAAGGAAAAATGGTGGAAGAAGGGAGAGGCTGCTTTGGAGGCTATTGCAATAATCTGAACACGGGGAGATGGTGGCTCAAAGTTGGGAGCAGTGGAAGTATTAAGTGGTCAGATTCAGGGCATATTATTGAAGTAACCACTAATGGATTGTGTATTGGGTGTGGGACAGAGAAGAGTCCACGATAACTCCAAGATTTTTGACCTGAGAAACTGGGAAAATAGAATGCCATCAGCTGAGATGGCAAGTTAGGGAGGGAAGATCAAGAATTTATTTATGCCCAGGGCGCCTGGGTGGCTCAGTTGGTTAAGCGACTGCCTTCGGCTCGGGTCATGATCCTGGAGTCCTGGGATCGAGTCCCACATCGGGCTCCCTGCTCAGCAGGGAGTCTGCTTCTCCCTCTGACCCTCTTCCCTCTCGTGCTTTCTATCTCTCATTCTCTCTCTCTCACATAAATAAATAAAATCTTTAAAAAAAAAAAAGAATTTATTTATGCCCAAATGACATTTAAAATGCCTTTTAGACATCCAAGAAGAGATGCCAGGTGACTATTGGATCTAAATTTGAAGGTTGTGAGCATATGGATGATGTTTAGCCATGAGACTAAATGAGATAGCCAAGGGAGTGAATGTAGATAGAAAAAAAGGAGGTGAACCAAGGGCTGAGTCTGAGGACACTCTAATGTTAAGAGCTGGAGGTGGGGAGGGAAAAGGAGAACCAGCAAAAGGGACCTAGAGGGAACAAACAGCAAGAAGAAAACTAAGACAGAGTGGTATCCCAATGTCTAGTGATGAAAGTTTCTCAAACAGGAGGAATGTGACAAATTATGTGACATGCTTCTGGTAATCGAGTAAAATGAATGGTTTTAGTCATGTTGAGGTCACTGGTACTTAATACAAAATCAGTTTCAGGGAAGCTGTGGGGGCAAAAGCAGGTCAGTAGGCTTAAGAAGGATTTTGAGAGGTCACAGACAGTAAAGATAGGCCTTTCTTTCTGAGAGTTTTCCAAAAAAAAAAAAGGGAGCAAAGAAATGAAGCAATAGCTGACAGGGGAAGTGGGGTTAAGAGACAGATTTTTATGAAGTGGGAGAAATAATATGTGATATTGTGAAAGACCCAGGAAAGAGAGGAGAAGTGATACTGGAGAATGCTGTATTTCTGGAGTGATAATCTTGAATAGGCTTGAGGCGATAGCCCCTCCTTTATTACATTTATCACATCTTTCTTATGAAAGATGAGAATATCTTTATGTTCACTGTTCCTCACCTGGCATTTTTCACATAATAAACTATGGTTCTTTCCATATCAATACATGGAGAAGGTTCTTTTTTATAGCTGCATACTATTCCATTGGAAGGATATACCTTCCATTGGAAGGATATACCACAGTTTATGTGTTGCTTCCAAGTTACTGCTGTCCTAAACAATGTTACTCTGAATAACTGTGTATATGCCTCATCTCATATGTCAGCCTGTTGCTACTTCAATCCATAGTCTGTCAGCTCTCAACACTTCTAGTCTATGACTATAAATATAATAGCTCTTCATTTCTTTCTTTCTTTTTTAAGATTTTATTTATTTATTTGACAGAGAGAGACAGTTAGAAAGAGGACACAAGCAGGGGGAGTGGGAGATGGAGAAGCAGGCTTCCCACTGAGCAGGGGGCCTGATGAGGGGCTCGATCCCAGGACCCTGGGATCATGACCTGAGCCGAAGGCAGACGCTTAATGACTGAGCCACCCAGGTGCCCTGCTCTTCATTTATTTCTGTTAGTTGTGTTAGGCCAAAATAATTGTTTAGATATATGTAGGGACTTAATGAAAATAGATATCATGTTGGATCAACAATAACATTTGATTCAGGATTTTTAGTTACGATAAAAGAATATTGTTCACTGGGCTTCAGAGGTAATTTTCCAAATCTTTTCATTAGGAATCTTGTTAGAGATCTTCTTTATTCCTATGTTCTGGAGGATTCTGTGACCTCAACCACCTCCTCCCCTCCCCCTGCCTCACCCATTAGTTTTTATGTATTTGGAAATAACAGTTTCTTGTGTCCAGTGTTATGTCTCAGAGAGTAGCCATTAATTGTTGTTTAATGTTTCATGATACCAGTGTTGGTGTGTTTCTCCCCCTAGACCTTTGGAAGCACCATGTCATGAAAGAAAACTTTTCCGTTAGCAGACCACAGATAGTTGAAAAATTTAAACAGAAATTAATGGAAAATTACCAGGATGGTGGACTAGAGGTATGTATTGAAAGTTAGTCATTTTAGAGTGTGTTTTTTTTGTAACGGAAACCCAAACAAGGGAGACTTTCCCTTTAGCACATTTCCTAATGTTTTCCTTACTCCCTTAGAATAAAGATATGAATTCTGAGGCTTAACTCAAAGTAGTAATCACTTGTTATCATTTTAATTTTGGAAAAAGATTGATTTCTAATAAATTATGGGAGAGAAATTAGAATATGCATTCTGGCTAATTTCAGATTTGGCCAGTTTTTTAAAGTAACCGTGGAGTTTGTTGATGAGTAAGTTGTTTATAGCAACATTTCCTGTGTTGATTTTTTTATTTTTTTAAAGAGTTTTATTTATTTATCAGACAGAGAGAGAGAGAGAGAACAAGTAGGCAGAGCAGGAGGCAGAGGGAGAGGGAGAAACAGGCTCTCCGCTGAGCAGGGAGCCCGACGCGGGGCTCGATTCCAGGACCTTGGGATTACGACCTGAGCCGAAGGCAGACGGCTAACTGACTGAGCCACCCAGGCGCCCCCTATTTTATTATTATTATTTTTTTTTTTTTTTTTTTTTTTAAAAGCTTTTTTATTTATTTGAGAGAGCGAGAATGAGAGACGGAGAGAGAACACATGAGAGGGGGGAAGGGTCAGAGGGAGAAGCAGACTCCCTGCCGAGCAGGGAACCCGATGCGGGACTCGATCCCGGGACTCCAGGATCATGACCTGAGCCGAAGGCAGTCGCTTAACCAACTGAGCCACCCAGGCGCCCTATTTTATTATTTTTTAAAAATTTTTTTGAGAGAGAAAGAGTGCACGTGTGCATATGCATGCATGCCAGTGAGGGGGGGGGGAAGAGCAGGTGGAGAGGGAGAGAGAGAATCCCAAGCAGACTCCATGCCCAGTGCAGAGCCCAACATGGGCCTCTATGTCACGACCCTGAGATCATGACCTGAGCAGAAATCAAGAGTTGGAGGCTTAACTGACTATGCCTCCCAGGCACCCCCTGTGTTAGTTTTTTAATATAGAAAATTTAGAAGAGAGAAACTAAAATAGCCTATAATTCTACTACCTAGAAAACATTTTTTAAATGTATAATACAAAAAAAAAAATCAGAAAGGTAACATTTCCACCCCTCCTTCACTGTACCATCCCCAGTTCTCTCCCCACAAAGGAAACCAATATCAACAATATTTTGTGTTTGTATATATATTTGAATCCATAATAACTGTATATAACATATATTTAATAACAATAATATGTATTTAATACATACAATACACATATACACAGTCCTTGGAGTTTTCAACTGTTGACTATTTCTAGACAGTGCTGAAAAGGCAGAATAAGAGAGTGTATGTGGCGCGGTGCCTGGGTGGCTCAGTCGTTAAGCGTCTGCCTTCAGCTCAGCTCATGGTCCCAGGGTCCTGGGATCTAGCTCCACATCAGGCTCCCTGCTTGGCAAGAAGCCTGCTTCTCCTTCTCCCATCCCCCTGCTTGTGTTCCCTCTCTTGCTATGTCTCTGTCAAATAAATAAATAAAATCTTTAAAAAGAGAGAGAGTGTATGTGGCTCTATGGTCATAGCAGAGCTTTCAGGATCATTAACAAATGAAGCATGAAGTACATTAGGTAGATATGAATCCAGTTGCCTTTGAAATTCAACCATTTTTTAAAAACCTGATTTAGTAAAATAGGCTTAATTTTTTAAAACAATATTTCCGTCAAACTTATATTTTTCTAAGCTCTTCAAATATTCCCCATAATTTTATAATAAACACTTCAGTTTCTAATTACGAGGTAGAGAATTCACTAGCTTGGTCAGGGACACTTTTTCCTCAGAGCTTGATGATTTACACATATTTCATTTAAGCTTTCAATTACACCCAAATGTGGTCCTGTGTATTCTGATGAGGAGGTGAAGTGGTTCCTTTTGGTCCCTGCAGCTCAGAGGTTCTCAACCAGAGTGATTAGGGTAGAGCATGCTTAGAAATATGTTTGAAGCAAAAAATTTGGTGGCTCTCCTTAAAAAAAGGAAAGAAATTCTGACATGTGCTTCATCATGGATGAAGTTTAAAGACCTTATGCTCAGTGAAAAAAGCCAGTCACAAAAGCATAAATGCTACATGATTCCGCTTCTGTGAAGTACCCACAGTAGTCAAAATCATAGAGACAGAAAGTGGAATGGTGGTTGTTAGGAGCTGGGGGGAGGGGGAGGGGGAGTTGGTGTTTAGTAGGAACAAGTATCTCAGTTGTGCAAGATGCAAAGAGTTCTAGAGATTGATTGTACAACAGGTTGAATGTACTTAATGCCACTGAACTTTACACTTAAAAATTGTCTAAATGGTGGCGCCTGGCTGACTGAGTTGGTAGAGCATGTGACTCTTAATTTCGGAGTCAAGAATTCGGGCCCCACCTTGATTGTGGAGATTACTTTAAAAAAAAAATTGTTTCAATGGCAAATGTTATGTGATGTATATTTTACCACAATAAAAACAAACAAAAAGTCTGTGGCTCAAGATCTGCTCAACCCCTATGTATATGCTTTACTCCAACATTGAAGATGGGATTGTCTAGGAAAGAAATGTGGATATTAGGGCAAACCCATATCAGGTATAACTGAAACCCAAGGTACCCTGAAGAGGTTGGTGACTGCCTGCCAGTGTCTTGGAATCAGAGGATACCAGGACATTAGATCCCTCCAAACTCTGTGCCTGATGGACCTCTAGCCTCTTCTGGATCATCTGCAATGACCGGGAACTCACTCTCTTGCAAGCCCACCCGCCCTCCCCAGCCATTCCTGGTAGCTCTTGTTTTAAGCAGCTTTTACTGAGTTGGCTTTGGCCTCCCCACAATCTCCATCATGGATCCTAGTTCTGTCCCTGGCACATCATAGATCATGGTTCTGACCCCTCACAACAAGCCTTTAGGTATCCAAAGGCAGGTCAGTCCGAGAAACTCAGTTAGCACCATTGCTAGCATGGGTGAAGCCTCGGTAAAATTACAACAAAGGGCCTGCTCTGATAGCACAAACCCAAATGGGTGCCCCTCTGGGTGGTGGGTTACAAATTGTTACACCTTCCTCCAGATGGGTGCGGCCCAAGCCAGGGCACATGAACTGGAAAAGGGAGCAGGCACTGGGCTCCTCCCTCACCTGGGCGCCTCTGTGCAGAGGACCTGAGCCCAGCCTTCTCTTCAGACTAAACCTCTTTCATGTCCTTCAATCACTTTATATGAGCAGCCCTCCCATCCTGGTCAGTCCCCTCTAAATGCAAGATCGTCTGACCAGTGGAAAGTGTACTTGTCCTGTGTGATCTGCTTTGATTAATGCCCATGAGTGTGCTGGGTATTGGCAGCTGCTTCATGGAAGACGCATGAGGCTAACAGTCACCTGAAGCCCACACGTTGCCTTCAGGCATCCTGATGCTGCCATATTATTAGCCTTGTTCTTACTCAATTTAGTCCACTCTGAACTTCTTGAAATCCTTAAAAATCTGGATTTTTATCATCCAGCACACTCTCACTCCCTCCCGGGTTCATGTCAGCCTGCCCTCGGTCTCCTCATTCAAGTTATTACTGACAATGTATGCCAGGGCAGGCCCCAAGCCCTGTGCTACCCCCTCGGGGTCCCCTTCAGGCTGACCCCACTCTCTGGGGACAGTCTTTCTGTGGCCAGCAGCCCATCCATTGTACTGTCGCCCAGTCTATGTTCTCCACTGGTCCACAAGGACATCATGAGGAACCTTTCCAGATACCCTGCTGAAATCCAGGTACACTGCATGAGCTCTATTTCCTGAAAAGGTTCATCTGACCTGATTTTTCTTGAATCCATATTGGCCTCTAGTGATCTTTTCTTCCTTCTCCAAATTCTAAAAAAAACAGACTTTCACAATCAGTTCTAACATCTTGCCCAAATTTTATACCAAACACACTGACCTAAACTTAGAGACTGACCTTTATTGCACATCAGAACTATAATAGTCTATTGTGTGGATTCCAGAACCATTTCCATTCATATGCCAAAAGTCGTTCATTCATTTAGCCAGTGTTTATAGATCTCCTTTTTTTTTTTCTAGGCACTGTATTATATTAAAGGCAAAAGGTACAGTTCTTGCCCTCAAAGAGCTTATGGAATCAGGTGACCCAGAAGTGTCAAGAAAAGATACTTTACATTAAATGCTTTGAGAGAGGCATACACAGGAGATACAACCCACCTAGGGGGTAGGGAAGAAATAGTCAGGGAAGACTTCCTGGAGGAGGTGTTGTCTGGGCCAAGTCTTAAAGCACAAATAGGAGTTAGCCAGATGAAGAGGGGCTGGGGAAGGAAGGTAGAGAAATTTAAGAAGGGAGTATAGCAGAGTTCAGAGGAGGACTTTGAAAATGTGGACAGGGCCAGTTGCTGAATGGCCTTGTAGGCAATCCTTAGGAGTCTGGATTTCATCCCAGAGTCAGTGGGAAGTCACTGAAGCATTTTGTCAGCAGAGGTGGGTTTTAGAAACATCATCAAAACACCTTGTGCATGCCTGATATTAGACCAATTATGAGGGGCTCCAAGATGAAACAAACCACAGAAGTGCAATTTGCTCCCAGCAAAGCCAGACTTTTGCCAAAACAAGGCCTAGCACCTGCCAGGCTTCACCCCAGGCTGGCTCTCCAGAAGAATCTGGTGATTTTCCAGCCAGTGCCATTCATCACAGTTCAGGTTTAACTGTTGGTGAAGAAATCAGCCCATGGGAGGGCATGGTCTTCACTCTGTGGTTTTATGGAACCCAAGGATCTGCCCTGAAGGGGAAGTTGGAAGATGAACCTACTTCATGCTGCGTTTTGAGACAGAGCTGACATTTAGTGACCTAGGAAGGCAAGGGTAGGTTGCAGAAGAGCTTTTAAGAAACACAATAACAAAATACAATTTCTCTGGCCTCTGGAGATGCTCAAGGGGGTCCTGGCCATTCCCACACCTCTGGTGTAACACAGACTCACACAGAGGTGCCTTACACTGGCTAAGAGGGGACGGTAGAAGGCCATTGAGGTCCGAATCTGCATTTCTGTTTGTTTGGGATCCTATATCTGCTATGATGGCTATGGTAATATTAGTTTGAGAAGTGTTGGCCCTGCCAAAAAGTTGCTGGAGGCCTTACTGGCACGCTCAGGTCCAGAGATTGCCGTCCAGGACAGTGAGGAGTGAGTCACTGTGGCTGATTCCAAGCACTGGGCCCAGCCCGCCTGGACAGGGTCACCAGCCATACCTGGATGGCCTTGAATATGGTCTCACAACTCCTCAGTGTTTCAGGCTTTCATCATATTCAGTCTGGGAAGTGTTTCCTTTGTCATTACTAAATTTGCGTAGCCTCGACCCTGTCATCATTAAGAAGTCAAGGGCCAGGGAATGGAATCTTGGTTCCCCTTGCCTTGTTGTCAGAAGCTCAATCTGGCTGTCCTACTGCTCACTTTCCAGAGCAGGGTGGATTGCCCTCAATCCCACCCCCCTGAAGGGGCCCCTTGAGGAGGCCCCAGATGAGGGAGGTCGGCTGAGTACCCTGCCCTGACTGCCTGGCTCCTATTCATGAAATCCCCCATGAGCAGAGGGGTTCATCTACGGTCTCCATTCTGCATCTCTTCAATGCACCCAAGCTGCTGTGGCTGATGATCTTTACAAAAGCTTTACTATCTTTTCATTAGGGTATACATTTTATTACATATACATTTTCATATATAATTATCTTAATTGTGTATGCATATTATGATTATATTAGAAAATAGAAATATGATGTATTAGAAAATACACTCATTGGCTTACCCTCATTGACAACTACTATTATTATGTTGGCATATTTCCTTCCAAACTTTATTTATCATTTTTTTATTTGTTAACTTTTTAAAACCAAATTAGATCATTCTGTATGCCCTTTTATTATAGTGTACTTATTTTCACTTGAGTACATATTATCAACATGTTTCCTTGTCAATAAACATTTATGTCCACAGCAGAATTTTTGGTGGCTGTCTAGTATTTCGTTTGTACAGAGAGGTGAGAAAGAGTCAACCTGTTTCCCTTTATTAGGAACTTTTGATCGTTTCCATTTCTCTTTTTGTTGGAAAGGCTACTATAAAGAACATCTGCTTGTGTATATTTTTGTGTGTCATTTTTATTATCCCCTAAAGATGAAGTTCTGGAAGAGGAATGACTGGGCCAAAGGGCACAAACATTTTAAAATCTTTTCACAGATACAGCTAGTCTGCCCTCCAAAACATCACCCTGATTTCCCTTGCCATCAGCAGTGGTGAGCGAGCCACTTCCCTCACGCCATCAGTCCTGAGTTCTATCACTGTTTGCCATCTCTGCTAGTTTGTCTCAGTAACTCACCTTGGTAAAGCCTGGCTGGGCTTTCTCTGGAGGTCAGTGGGGGCACGGAGGTGTACTGGGCCTCACAGGGACAAGCAAGTCAGAGACCCAGGACCCACCCCAGGCCAGAAACTTCTGTAGCACACTGCCAATGAGCCTGGAGCCCTCCTGACCCTGGAAGTATCACAGATAAAGCTCATGTATGCATGAGGGCTGGGTCTTGGAGTAGGCCCCCTAAGACACCCAGGTACACACACAGACACACTGACTGATATACACCCAGGTACACACACAGACACACTGACTGATATACACACAGGGACACACATAGACACAGAGACATATACAGACAGTCACAGAGACATCCACGGAGACGCAGACATATGTATACATTTACACTAATGGATACAGACACACAAACGTCCACAAATGCCGCAGATGCACTCACTGATATGGACACATAGAGACACACAGGAGCACTCACCTGGACTTGCAGGCCCTAAGCAGATATATCTGTCCTATCTTCTATACGTTGGCTCCCATTTCTCTCCAGAGCCAAAATCTTAGCTTGCCTGGGAGAGATGGACTGTTCCTCTGTTCCTTAATGGCTACCTCTTCAAAAGGGAGCCCGATCTCTTAGAGCAAGGGAGGGAGTGAGACTGCCAAAAGAGGAGCAGTATGTCCCTTCAACCAGAGCAAGAGGGGCCCTGCCAGGCGCTCATTCTTCAGAGGGCTCCTCTGGCTCATCTCCAGCCCCACTCTTCCTCACAGGGTGAGAAATACCCACAGCCAAGGGGACGTGCCCACTCAGATCTCTGGCCTTCCTTCTAGACCACACTTCAGGAGCTTGGCATCCTGGAATTCTCCCTGGAAATTCTCCCGATCCTGCTCCCCAGAGGGAGAGTGGGCCTTACTGACAGTGTGCATACCCCAGCCCGAGGGGTGGCCCAGAGCAGCTGTGTAGGGGTGTAGAGAGCCGGAGGGTCTGTGTGTATGCACATGAGAGCCCTCCACAGTGTGATGTGGGGCCAGAGGTGGGAAGAGAAGGGGGTCATACTGTAAACTGTAAGCTGGTGAGCCAGCTCTCTCCAAGTCACCACATTTCAGCATAGAACCCAGAGTAGTCCAAGAATGATAAAGTCAAACCTGCCCTTCAGTGTTATTTTGAAGATCTTTTTCCAAAGTAGGAGAATTAATAGTTTATTAGTTTGACTTATAGCCCTTCAATAACTAGCATACTTAGGTATGTGGCATGTAGGCCTCTATTTGTACTCTTGTCCCTGCCCTGTGAATACTAAGAGTGGACCCGAAAGAGAGACTCGCAAGGCCAGAGCCCATGTTTCTCTGTGGCGGAGGAAAGGACAAGGGTCTGGGAGCTAAGGCAACATGTGCCCTGGCACGTGAGGCCGTCCTACTGGAGCTGCTGTGAATAATGCCCGTTCCTTTTCAGATCACATTCAGGAAAGACCACCTTGAGGCCTGCCTCCTTTCCTTGGGTTGTGATGTGATGGCGAGAGAACGCAGCAACTTCGAGAGCTACTCCATGTGTTATGAGCATGTGTTGGAGCATGCTAGGCAGAAGCTCTGTCAGAAAGAGCAGGTATGTTCCCAGAGAGACAAGAAGTGTGATGGGGAAGGTATGGGTAGGGAGGCCCAGGACTCACTCCAAAGAGGAGACTAGAACAGAGGGTGGGGGAGATGTTCTCACACAAGAACAGAGGGTGAAAGCTACTCCCCAAATGTCTCCTCTTACTGGTTCATTTTCTTGGGCTCTGGTATTCTCAGCTGCAAGGGTGATGGCCCAGCAACACTGGGTTGTGTGCTTTGGAAGTGTCTAGTGGGGAATATAAAACATTAGTGACAAAGGAGCTGCCCCTCAGGGAAGATACATAGCTTACCTTCTCACCTCAGCAAACACAAAGCACCTTGTGCTGTTCCTGGTCTAGCAGAGAAGCCAGGATCCTTGAGTAAACTCTGTCTTCAGGATGTACATCATGGGTCTCACTGATGAAACTTCCTTAAAATGAGGTCCCCCTGGTGGGATCCAAGAGTCACTTCTCCTGTCCTAGATTGCACACTGTTTTAAATGGATTGCATTAGAGGTTCAGTGTTATATTACTTTTTACCTAAGAAAAGTGCAACAAGTCTGAGAAAAAAATCAAATGAAGCATTCAAATATCAAATGAGTCTCGGCTTCACCCCCAGTTTGGCTTATCCCTGTAGCCAAGTCTTTGGCATTAGTGTGGATACCCGGAAGTTAATGCTATCTTCTGATCTCATGTTAGGCGTCCTAAAGTCCAATGGGGCAACAAACGCAGTCAGGCTCCAGACGGAGCCCAAGGATCTGAAAATGAAGCTCCATTAACACAAATACGAGGTGTATGGAGCATGTTGTGCTGAACTGAGCCGTGGTTGGAAGAATAAATGTTTGAGTTTGGTTGTGCATTGTTTCCTCCTGTTCAGGAATTAGATATTATCCGAAGAAGTTCAGATCCACTTGAAGACAACGCTGGTCAGGTAGGTCCATTCTTACCAAAAAGCTTCTCTTTTCCAGCTCACAAATCCACATTCTCAGCAGTAGCCAGACAGGGGACTTCCTAGTGTCATTTTCTTGTGCCCCCCGTCAAGAGTGGCCTATAGAATTCTCATCAATGAAGATCTACTGCAGAAACACCTAAGGAGTGTGCTTTCACTTTTTAAGCAATAGGGCTTTCTTATTCTTAGTTTTTTGGTGGTTTTTGTTATTTTTTATTGCTTTGATTTTTCTTTTTTGTTGTTAGTTTGGGGTTTGGGGTTGGGGGCTTCGTTTGTCTTCTTTTGAGGCCAGCTTAAGTGAATTCCAAAGTAAAGGTATTTAGGTTGAGGTGTCAAAGAAGGCCCATTTGGAAATGGAGACGAAGACAGCTGAAGTATTTTATCCAATTAAAAAGTGCTTAAGTGTGTCTCTTCAGGGGTCATTCATTCAGCAACCATTCATTGGACACCTACTATGTGTCTGTCTCTGTTCCGAGACCCTTAAGCCAACCTTAGATTCTTCCACCCATATTTGTACAACAGGATGTTCACCTCTTTCATTAGATTCAAGGTAGAAGAGCAAATCTGTCACTGATATACAAAGAACTATTCTATAGTGGCAGTTTGGATTGCTTGAGTTATCTTCCATTAAAACAATATTTCTGCCATTAGGTTGCAGAGCTCAGTCATACTCTGATCATGGAAATCACTGCTCTAAGAGCTCGACTCACAGATTTGGAACAGGAGAATCTGAATCTCAACAAGCAGATTAGAAAAGAAGTCCAGGAAGAATATGAAGCCTTAATCCGAGCTTTGTTTGCGACATGTGTGCACATAAAAGTAAGTGACCTGTCTCGGACATCTGGGCAGTCCCGTGGGAGCCGAGGCTCAGTGACCTCCACAGCTGCTGCACGCACAGCGATCAACGACAGAGTGTTTGTGGTAACAAGAGCCTACAGGGCCCACGAATTCTCCAGCACTCTGCGTTCACAACAGGGAGGGGTCAGCAATGGGTTGTCATTATTTTGCCATGAGAGACACTGAGTTTTAGACAATTTAGATGGTTGCTGTTTTCCTCACTCTGCTGCTGGTTGCCGTTGCTGCCATCTGATTGCTGTTAAGGCAGGGTGGGGGGTGTCTCCTCTGAAACCCCAATAGCTGATATCACGGTTTTGTCTATTGAGTGCCACCATCCAAACAGGAGAGTGCAGTGCCCTGAGCCAGGCCAGACTCCAGTGTCGGTAGCAACAGGTGCCTCCTGAAAACTCACTGGGCAGATTCAGAATTTGAATTCGCTTTCAGAGAGGTTTTCAACCTGTCAAATGCCTGTCAGCCTATTTCTCCCATCCAGTGTCTGGGAGCCGCTGGCCTGTCAGGGAAGGTCGTCCATCCGGAAGAGGAGAGATGGGGTGCCCATATGCCCACACAGGGTGGGGGGGGTTGGAAAGCCTGTCGCTTTCTTATGATGTCTGAGCAGCTGTAAGACGGAGGCCCTAAAATGGGCCATCACAGAGCCTGGTCCAGCTGCCCCACAGATGTGAACTTCAGGACAAACCTGCCCCCTCTCCTGCTATTGGATGGCTCCCAGAGCCAGCCCCCTCAATGAGTCTGTACTTCATTGTCTCTCCTGGGGCATTCCAGCCAGTCCCTGAAGCTGTTCCATTGAGAGGAGCTTCCACCAGTGCTCTGCCTTGGTGGATGTCAGAGAGGATTGGAGATTCCTTCCTACTTATGAAGGATCCACAAAATACAAATGCTTACAAATATTGTAGGGTCAAAACCAAAATGCACTGGGCCTGGTACTGCACGAGAGGGATGAACAGCCAGTGAAGTCTGGGATTTGCTCAGTCATCTTTTGGGTATGAAATTACTGAAAATTTTCTTAAGTTTTTTTTTTTTTTAACTTATGCCTGATTCCTAGACAGAAAGTGGATTCTCTACTTCTCCCAGGCTAAACCAGTTCCACAGGCCCCCACAAGTGGAGAATCCCTGTTCTACCCCGGGGTCCCAGGTGGATGGTGAAGCTTTGGCCATGTGGCTGGCAGCCAGACATCCTGCCATGGCTGCCAGGCTGGGCAATACCCTCCTGCTTTCCTCTCCAGGGAAGTGGTTCAGAGATGAGAGGACACCCAACTCTCCCCCCTCACCCAAGGATGCAGGGTCTGTAGTTATACTTAGCGATGATCAAGCCCTTCCACCACAAGCCATTATCCATAAGCCATTCAGAACAGGCTGTTTCATAATGAGATTTCTGCTAGAACCTAAATGGGAAGGTAGCCAGCCTGATTCCTTCCTCTACTTTATCTATTTTTAATGTAGTTCCTCATTTGTGGCTCATCTATAGTGTTCTATCTGGTCGGATTCTGCTGAGTCAACCTGATAGCAAAAATCCCTAGGTTCAAATTCTCAAGCAACCTTTTGGGAGAAGAGGAGTGGTTCAGTTTTCTACCTGTGACCTTCCACTTTTCTATCCACTCAACTTACCTTGGCAGCTGACAGCCTGAGCTCTAAGATGTGTAGGGGTCCACATAATGAAGCCCTGGGGATTGAAGACAACGCTAAAGGGGCTGCTAGTGAGACTCCCAGATAATACCTGAGGGAATAATTGGGTGGATGGTTTTTTCACATGAAATCATTTCTGAAAGTTGGGTTTTAGAAGGCAAAGTGACTCTTCCTTCCCTGCCCTTCTTGACCTTGAATCTGCAATTTGCAGGAAAAGCTGGATGAGCATCAGATTAATTTGATCCAGAAAGTGTGTGAGCTCATCGGCGAAGTAAGAACAGAAGGGATTGACAATTTGAAAGGCCTGAAAACAAAATGGGGTTCTGCCAGACCTGATGAAGGAAAGAAAGAAAACCCAGCCAAAGTACGTGATTTCATTTAGCAATGAGATACCAGCATTTCATCCCAGCATCTGACCCCTAGCTCACTCTGTATGCGTTCCAGTCTGTGGTTTCCCCGAGAAAGCATTGCATCAGGCATTTAAAAGGGGCACTGGGGCCCACTGCACAATTGTGTCATCCTCTGGAAGGCATGGTTCTGATGTTAGGATTTGTGCCATTCCCTCCGGGGAAAAGTATTGGGGGCAGGCTTTCCTGAAAGTGAGCCTCTCTCAGCAGGAGCAGCTGCAGGCCTTGGAGCAGGACAGCGGCAGCCTGGCTGCACTGGTGTGCAAAGTGAGGAGCCTGGGCCGCTGGAGGCTGGCTGTGCAGCAGGCTCGTTTCCAGGGCCAGCTGAACAGGGCAGAGAAGGTGAGCGCCAGGAGAGGGAGGCCCCACCCAGCAGGGAGTGGTGAGGTGGGTGGCGCCTGGCTTCCTTGGCGGCCTCCCTGCCCCGGTGGCCTGGTGGCCCGTGGCAAGACCAACACGCTTAAAGGATCTGACCGTTGGGGAGTTTTCCTGGGAAGTGGCAACGTGTCAGAGCTTCCAGAGAAACAGGAAAGAGCCAGAAGTAAATGGCAAAGAAGCAAATGGGAGAACAGATCAGAGAATTTAGCACGAGGGAAGGGGAAAGATGGAGGAGGAGACTTTACCAAGGGCTTGAGGCAGCTTCATCAAAATATACTGCAAATCTTTGAGTTTCAAACATGATTATCTGAGGAAAATGAAGTAACAAATCGAAAATCTCCCTCAAGGCGAATTGAAACCAAAACACAAAATACTAGTGGTTTGGAGACTTTCACTTGGTGTTTCTGAAAGTCTTTGTTTACTCTGATCTGTCACACTGTACTTAAGCAAAGACAGAGAGGAAGTGACCGGTGGGAGCTCCTTGCTACCGGAAGCTTTAAAAAACGATGGTAACTGAAGTGGTCTAGAGACTCTTATAAACTAAAACTATGGAAAGGAAACTTATTCCCTATCTCACTGTGTTTGGGATGTTCACAGGAAGCTCTGCAAAGTAAAAAAGAGTGCTTGAGCATCCAGCTAATGGCAGAACAAGAAGTGGTTTTATTTCGTCAACAGTTACTGGCTCTAAGGCAGGCCCTGGCCAGGGCTCAGGCCGACAACACCAGGATGCACGAGCGGCAGGATAACCAGGTATCTGAGCCCCAGGAGCCCTCTGCCTCCCTCTCTCTAACCTCGCTCTGCAAAGCTGCATGTGGTAGTGGAAGCAGCACCATAGCTGCCCAGAGCAGTCATCAGGGCTCCGCAGTGTGAGGCCGAGCACAGGGCACGGCCAGAGAACCACTGCCCAGACCTCAGCTTCCCTTCTCCCTCCTCTCTAGCCCAGCAACCAAGGAAAGTGGCCAAAAGGCTTTTGGTTTTGTTTGTATTTGGCTAAGATGGGCAAGTACTACCCATACAGAAGACCATTCTTCGGCGTAGTGTGTACGTGTGTGTTTCTCTGAGGATCTTATTACCCAGAGGGCATCTTGGGGTGGAGGTCTCTGCCCTTTACACAGTCCTTCCATCTCCAAGCACATTTTCCATTGACAGCAACCTTGTGCATGTGGAGTGTGGCCCAGCCATCAGCATTATTCCCCAAACTGAGTCTTGCATCCTTTCCGGATGATCCATACTAAGTCTTCATTTCAGAAGTTACTGCTGCTCAGTAGGGGCCGGCACCAAAAGAAAGGTGTTTCCAAGTTTAAGCCCTTGATAACTGTGCCAACTCTCTGAGCATGAAGGAAGCAGAAAGACCCTAGGTGTAGAGAGAGAAGAGCCAAGTGTAAGTAAGAGCCTGGGAAAGCTGGGCATATTTAAAACCTAACATATAATTTGTTCCTTCTAGACCCTACATCCTCCATTATTGTGCACCAGGTGAACAATGGTGTATAATTATGCAAACTGTAACGTCACCATACAAACAGTATTAGTATTATAACTGAGGATGGACCCTCTGGTGCTTATGGTGCTACTGCTTAGAAAAATTTCAGAACAGGACCAAATTATTACTACTGTTTTCCTTCTTTAGCCATCTGGAACCTGGCTTCCCCAGAGCTATTCTGGAAGTCAAAACAGAGGCAAGATTAGAACCTCCTTTGTCCACTCATTGCGTGTATTACATCACCCCTTCTCCACGGGCCAACCCTTCCCTGCTATCTCGTGATTAATGCTCAGTGACACTGCACATGTAGTTTGAGGTAGATAAAACTATGTGGTTAATAAGCTGAGTAACATACATATTATCATCACATTTGGGCACCGAAAGTCCGAACCGTTTGACCTGGTATTGCCAGTGGCATTACCACTTGCCTGGCTTTTCCTGTTTGTTCCTTTTGTTCCCTCCCTGACTGTTGCCTCAGGGCTTACAGTAAATGCCAAGCCGGCATAGATCCTGGTAGTCTTGCTGCCTGCTAGCCCAGAACCGAACGGCCGGGCTCTAGGATCCTGAGCCCAGGAGTATGCAACAGAGTCGTGCCCCTGGGCCCTACTGGAGGGGATGGTTATCCCGTTGGGCAACTTCTCGTTCCCTGCCTTTCACTGAGAGGAAAGACTGTGCCTTCTTCGTTTCCTCTGGCCTTTTCCTGCCACAGGCTCAACTGCTGAGAGAGTTGCAACACCGAGCAACCCAGGAGGCTCACCACCAGCAACAGATGGATCTAATGAAAACCTCCAGCATGGGGAAGCTCTTGGAAGATGTGGAGCAAAAGGAACAGCACCTGCAGCTCCTGACGGAAGTGGCTAGGAGGGCTTCCAGACTGGGCCAGCTTCAGCAGAAGAGAAGTCAGAGAGAACTCCAACAGGTAACTCCGGAGAGAGGAAGCTGCCGCTCAGAAGCCAATCAGGATGCACCAGACAGAGCTGGGGCCTTCTTCTGGAATTTTCCATGCCTCTGGTGTCCCTCACCTTTGTCATTTCTAGGCCCACCAGGATAATGGAAGTACTTCTGCCCACGCTGGGGTGATGCTCGGGCTGTTTATGGTGAGAGAGGATGATGGCTTCACTGCCTCAAGGCCCAGAATCTTGGCACCTTTATAACCCACATGAAAAACATGTTTCCACTTGGCTATAATTTTTGAACTAGGGATCCTTTAGAGAATTCCAACAGTTAATCTGGAAGAGCAGAAAGTATTATGGAAGCTATTATAAGAGGATTTTATTCAAGGTATTTCTGGAACTTCAGAGACAAAAAGGAAAGGCAAAAGTGATTTCCAGACACAATATATTTTTGTTAAATATACCCCTACAGCAAAAAAAGGAGGAAACAATAGATGTAGATGTGGATTAATGCAAGCTCCAGCAAAGGAGACCACAGAATGTAATCCAATACAAAAGGCAAAAGAAGTAGCACCTTCCAGAGCAGGCACTTCTCATGCATTCACCAAAGGAATAAATCACTTAATTAATTCACCAGAGATGTTAGGAAACAGAAGTTGGACAGTTAAATTAAATTATTGGCCAAGTGTTTCAGGTGCTTAAGGAGGAGATCAATGAGAAGTCTACAAAAATAAAAAAGGGCAAAAATTGAATTGAGGCAATGCTAGAGAAAATATTTGTGGAGAAATGGAGAAAAAAACGAGTAGCTTTAGACTAAAAGAAAATTAGAATTTCACATTTATTTTATGAAAACTAAACTAAAATATGACTTGAATCCTTAAGAAAATTTTGGTGTCACATATTTATCTTTCAAGTTATGCTTTTCTAAAAACCACCACAAAGATAAGGTGTTAGCGGGCGCCTGGGTGACTCAATCGTTTGAGTGTCCCGCTGGATCTCAGCTCAGGTCTTGATCTCAGGGTCATGAGTTTGAGCCCTGCATTGGGCTCCACACTGGGTATGGAGCCTACTTAAAAATAAATAAATAAATAAATACATACATACATACATACATACATAAAGTGTTAGTTTCTCAAAGTCCTCTCTAGTTAACGACTAATTTTTGTCTAATGGTAGAGAATCTAAAAGTAGTCAAAACAAATGTTTTGAGGCTTCTCTCAACAAATACATGTTTTTAGTATATGTATGTAACAACCGAAACCACCCCTCTACCTCTGCTGGCAGCCCCTGTGCCCCTGGGCTTACTGTCCCATTCCCCACCAACTAGCAATCCACCCTCAGCCAGCAAGAGCCCCTACGACCCACAGTGACTTCTTTAATCCATCTCCAACCTCCAATTCCAAGGGCAGATTTTGACCATCTGACCTTGGAGAGCATGACTGTCCTTGCCTACCTCCTGCTCCTGGGGAGACCATTTAGAGCAGAGGCCCTAGAGTCAGACTTCCTGATTCACACCCCGGGGCCTTCCACTGCATGAGTTTAGGCTAGATCGTGGTCTCTCTGTGCTTCAGTCTTCTCATCAGTACAATGGAGAACAATATACTCATTTCGTGGGATTTTTTAGAAGGATTAACTCAGGTAATTCCAATGAAGCACATAGAACTGAAACGGATACACAGCTCTTGATAAATATTGGCTATATGTCTTTTTTGCTGGGAATATGAATGAAGGTGGACAATTTTGGAAACAGATTGACCTGGTTTCAGATCCTGGCTCTGCCACTAACTGGTTGTGGGATCTTGGGCAAATCACTACACCTACCTCTGTGAAGTGGGGTGGGATCCTTTTTAAGGTCCTAACACAACACAAGGTCCTTCCTAAGCATGTTTTTCTCCTTTGCTAATATTCTTCAAATTGGTTTAGCCCCAGCCTGGCTCAGGGAGTCTTGACATGTTTTTCCTGGTTCCTGCCCATGGGGACTGGGGAGCCTACACCAATACTTAGAGTACATACAGGGACCTTGGGCCTAATTTGTATTAGGAAGTTTTCCTAACTCTGGGGATCTGATCTCCTACTGAAAGTTAAACTACACTTGAGAGCATCTGTACACACAAGAAACTGCCCCTTAACATTTGTAAGATGAGCCTGTGGTCATAGCTTCAAGAGTTCACAGGCCTTCTCATTGGGTCCATGCAGACAGGAGTAGGATTTAAAACACATGTGGCTGAATTTTTGATATTAGCATGTGGATTAGTTTGTTGTAACAAATCACCACAAACTGGATGGCTTAACACAACACAAATGTATGCTCTCACAGTTCAGGAGGCCAGAAGCCTGAAGTCAAGATGTTGGCTCCTCCTGGGGGCTCTGAGGAAGAGGCTGTTCTCTGCCTCTCTCCTAGCCTGTGGTGGCGGCCTATAGCCCTTGACATTCCTTAGCTTGTACGTACATCACTCCGATCTCTGACTTCCCCCTCCGATGGCCCTCTCCCTAGGTGTCACTCTGTGTCTGAACCCTTTCCTCTTCTTATAAAGGCATCAGTCATTGTATGTAAGGCCCACTCTTAACCCAATATGACTTCATCATAATTTAATTACATCTGCAAAGACTATTTCCAAGTAGGGTTACCTTTTGAGGTTCTAGGTAGACATGAATTTTTTTTTGGGGGGGGACACTATTCAATCCACTATACTATTATTGCTTTTTTATACTTTATAATTTTATAATATAATTATAATTACATTACTTTTTATACTTTTAGTAATTTTTATAATTGAATTACTTGGTATAACCTATATAAATTTATATTTATATAAATAAAAATAAGTTTCAAAAGAAAAAATTACCTGTGCTCTCTGTGGATGAGGTACACTTTGGACCCAGCCTCACTCTGGCTGGGGGTCTAAGGGCCAGCTGTGCTAGCAGAGAGCCACATGGGTAAATACAAAGGTCACCTCTTGGTAAGGGCCTCATATAAGGCCCGGGAGACGGTGCTCAGGGCGTCCCTGCAGATGATGAGCTGAACCAAACAGAGATCTGGGAGAGAGATCGGGTCTTTCCTCTGCTTGAAACTGTCCAGGGGCTCCCTCCCAACCCTGGGGTAGTTTCGTGGCTTTGACCCACAAGGTCCTCTGTGACCTGGGCCCTTCTCCATTTCCTCTCCTCCCCTCCCCTGCGGTGATATAAACATAAAAGATAAAAATGTTGTGAGTGAACTCCTGGCTATGATAAGGTAACAAGGGGATCCAAGGGCTGTCTCTGTTCCTCTTTGGTTAAGTTCTTGGCCTTCTTGGAGCTCTCATTAGAAGGCTGAGTTCAGCCTGACCGGGACTGTATGAGGACTTGTATTCCTGGGGCAGCCTGGACCCACACTCTCCGAGGAACCCCAGGAACTAAAGTATGCACCAAAAAGCATCTCTGCTTCCTAAGCACTTTTCCCCTCAGATGAGAAGCCGGCTTGCCCAGGAGCGCAGTGTGAAGCTGGATGCTTTCCAGCGCGTACAAGAGCTACAAAGTCAGCTTAATGATGCCGAGCAATCGTCTGTCCAGATGAGCTCACCAGGCGGTAAGCAGGTCCCCTACTCTGGCTAGCACAAACTCCCAGGGTCTAGGGTCTGCAATGAGGAGGATCTCCGGGTCTAGCCATAACAACGCAGTGGTTATTGAGTGGGTGCTCCATGATGGCTGTTGAATGAATGAATGTTACATGAATAAAAAAACTTCATTCTGATTTGCAGTCATAACTTTCTACTTTAGTTCACCTTAGAGTACTGACATCCTGTACTAAAAGGTTTTAGTCATAAAAACTGGTCTCAGAAGTGTGTAATATACCACTTACAGAACATTGGGTACTTCACTATATTTTGTCTTAATGCCTTGGGACATCAATGACCACATTTCTCAGATGTTATTTATAAAGTATATTATGATTCATGGGAGCTGGGGGCCGGAGGAGTCCTATAGAAATGGCAATCAAAACAGCCCTCTGGGCAATGTAGCTAGCAAGCAGCACGGAGCAGGGGTCAAACCCCGGATGTCTCTAAACTAGCTTCCTCCCCTATAAGTTGAGGATGAAATACATTCTAAGTTCTTTTCTAGATCTGACTATCAAAAATATCATCAAATATCAGTATACACAACTGACTTATTATTAAGATCAGTCAAGCCTCTGCTTTTCTGTTCCGGTGTAGCCTGGTGGTTGAGGGTGTGAGCTTTGGTTCAAATCCTGGCTCTGTCACTGCTAGCTATGTGACCTTAGACAGGCTATTTAGCCTCTCTGTAAACTGGGACTCTCCACCTCAAAAGGGTATTCTGAGGATTAAACGAAATAATGCACGTCTGCCACATTGTTTAGAAACACTAAAACACTTGTTTTAGTTGTTTAAAAACACTAAATAACTGTGCAAATGTTGATTATGATGCTCCCAACATCAGAAGCATCAGAGGCAAGGACAGAGTTAAGGGGCGAGCTCTCTTTACTTGGCATTAGCATGGATTCCCCTTAGGATCTCACAACTCCTGGGAAACTATAACATGTTCTAGTGCAGTTATTCTTAAAATACTTAAGGGAAAAACAAATGAAATCATTTGGCTGACAAAACTGTGAAATGTTGAGGGGTAGACTGGCTTCAGTTCGCTTGATCCCGGTTTGACGTTTGTCACGAGCACTGATTTCTCTCTCACCGCCTCTGGGCTCTGAGAATGCTGGTAGCAGAGAGGAAGTGGAGCTCCTTGGGAAGCAAGATGGCTGCCACCGCTGTAGCTCCCCGGCTCTGTTCAGCTCTTGGGGCCGGAGTCAGTGCGGAGATGGGACAGTTGAAAAGAATCAGCCTCAGACTGGGCTGACTCGAGTCACGTGCCCGGGTTTGAACAAATCACTAAAGCCAGAGACTAAGATGCTCAGTGCGCTTAGGATCAGCTCACATGTCCCTCCCCTGGAGCTGAGGATGGGGCCAGCTCACTCTCTCCTCTTCCCAGTAACTATTTTAAATCTTCCTGGCCTCTTCAGACCTTCAAACACTGTCCTCCTCTCCAGCCAACACTGTACCTCAGTTTCACAGAGCAGTTAAAAGCCATCCAATGGGAACCCCCCTCTATATCTTGAACCCAGCCCACCTACATTAGATACTCAGCTGCTTCTCCATCCTTCCTGATAAAATGGAAAAGGTGCCCCTTCCTGGGGCCAATCCCAATGCATGGGATCCCATTTGGTCCTACTTTTTCAGGGGCCTTGAACTAATTTTTATCTGCTTTCTCTCTACATACTCATATTTCCCACCCATCTACCCTTCTAATCTTGTGACCTATTGAGTATATATGTGCCAGGATCATAAAATCCACCATAAAATAAAATTAACATCTATCCAGTTGCTTGAGCCAGAAATCTAGGAGCTATTCTTTGTCACCCTGCAAATCCAGTTAATTACTGAGTCTGATTAATTTGAATATCCCTAAGTCTGTCCCCTTCTACCCACCACAGTCCAAGTCACCTATCATATCCTTCTCTTTCACTTGGTCATGTGACCCTCAGGCAAAAGATTCCATCCAAGTTTTGACATCTTCACTCAGAATTGACAAAGCTGGATTAGATGTTCATTTTAAGCTCTAAAATTTTATGGATCAAATCTAGGCCTATACACTGCAACCAGAGATATAATTTAATATTTTTTTAACATTATAGGCCTTATACCTCGGGCTCAGTATTCCCTCCGTTCTGCACCCACATCATCCAGACACTCACAGCAACACCTTTTAAAGACTAATCTTATGAGCAGTAAAATAACAAGAAGGATTCAAAGGCCAGACACTGTAAGTAATGATAAATTTGGTTATATATGTGAAACAATGAAAATGTAAATATGAAATTATGGTTTTAGGTTCACTTCAAACTTACGTTAAAAATATCAGGCTCTTATCTAGATACCTGGGTCTAGATAATAAAATTCTGGATTTCTCACAGGGGAATTTGTTCATGAATTGTTTCTGAATCAATGCATTTGTGGGAAGAAGGGTGATCCAGGGTTTCCCACTCTGCCATCTTGCTGATGCTATTCCTCAGTAATGGAATTCTGATGTCAAAACAATTCAGCCCAAAAGCACTTACTCAATTACAATTAAACAAATGGATGTGGAAGTCAGTATCAACACCTTGCTGTGTTCTGTCTCTGAATTTCTCCTCTGAATTTCTTCTTTTTCTTCCATCATCTACAATAATTAACTAGCAGCATGAGATCAGTTATCTGAGTTCCCTGGCAGAGCAGAAAGTTTCAGAAGTCATTTTAAAAACATGTGAGAAATCTACCCTCCAAAGAAATTCTTGGAACACAGATTAGGTCAAGGTATAGCATGTATATGAAGATTTTTTTTTAACATTTCAGCTTTTAGTTTGTGTAAAACATTTACACCCTCTTCCACTGCCTTCTCCGCACTACTTTGATAAGTATTACACTCTTTGCTCCATTGTTTCTCAGAATCCCCTCCAGAAGTTTACATGTCAACACATTTAAGAATTCCTGCCTCTTGCTTTGAGGAAAAGTAAAAGAAAAAGATTTAATCATATTGTCAGAGAAAATATGCCAATTCTAAGGTCTTTTTTGAGGGTGTAATTCTGCAGCTGAGGGTCTAGTTATTGGACCAAACATTTGTTGCAGTATTTCTGAACATGCAGTTAAGGAGTCATACACAGAAAGGGAAGAAACAGGTCAGGAATATCCATTTGGGGTCCTTGAACAAGTAGGACCACATTATTAATGCCCGCCATTTGCTTGACTTACCAATCTCTGTGCAGTCATCTTTCACCAAAAGGTGAAATTCTAGTATATGGCTGTTTGTTTCTGAAAAAGCCTTTTCCAAAAGGAAGCAATATTCAGTTGGTGTGTATGGGACCACAAGGGCTTTTAAGATTCACTCCATCCCCATTTCACTCCCAAAAGCAAATGTTGCTCTCATGGAGGTAGTTGAGGGTTATAACTCATGGCTAAGAAGGCTGCTTAAGACACTAAATGCATTTGAGGAGATCCACTGTATCTGAAAGATTTAAAAGGGTGATGGTCTAAACAAACCCTAATAAGTAGAGTGTTTTGTGGCCCGTTAACTCGTGTACACTATAAGAACCCCAAGCAAAAAGCCTAAGGTCCAGGAAAGGCACAAAAGAATTGGAGCCTCTTCGAATCTAAGCTCTGGCTTCTTAAGAAAGGCCTATGAGACAAATCAGATAAATACAGACTGAAGAGGAATTTATACATAGCTGGAATGTAAGACTGCCAATGATTTTCTAAAAAACAAAACACTGCACTAAGACAAATGATAAACTATTAAGGAACTTTTAGATTACTCCACATACGGGATATCTTTTTTCCTTAGACGAAAATGGCTTTCTGTTGATAGATTTAATTCATGACCAGTTCCCTTTATGACAAGTGGCAAATACAAGAAGGCACCCTAAATGGCCTAACCCAGACTGACCCAATGATCTTGGTCTTATGAGTAACAGTGACTTTTAATGATATCTCCAATATCTATTTAATCTTTATATTACAGGTACCTATTAAACACAAAAAAAGGTCTGACAACGTCTTTCTACCCAATGTGGCAGAAAATATTCAACATTCAGCTTTTCAAGTTCGCACAGCTCCATCCATAATCCCATAAGGACATGACTGGTAATCATATATGCTTTTCCACATTTTGTTTCCTTGAGTATTTGAATGAATAAAAATGATTCTAACCTCCATTAAAACTTTACCTAATTTTTATTAAAGTACTATGAAGACAGTGTAGAAGGACTGAGATGATTATATCCGAATGTCCCGAGTGAGGTAGGGTTTGGCCTTAGGTTTTAAGAACTTAGAGTTGATCCACATTTCTACAACCTAGGCCTTGCCTTTGGTCAAACAACAGCCTCTCATTATGGGTTCTAGATTGCTGATGAGGTGGTGGGAACCAGGAGAGAGGGCATTGCTGCTAAGCAGTATTTATTAGCAAATGAAAAACCAGAACGGATTAATCTAAATAAACTTCAGAGCACTTATTTCTATTTGTTTCACTTAAAAACATCATCCTCTCTTAACAGTTTTTTATCCTTCCTACAAATACTGAAACCCTCTTCAGACTTTTGTAAAGTCCTGATCCAAGTCTTATTGTTCAGACAAGAAAATGTATCCTGGGTAAAGGAATAAATAGGTAGATGACTGGAACAGAACAGACCAGAGAAACATCTACATACATAACTTAAATATGATATATATAGTTTTTCAAATTAAGGATAAGGTTGAGTCTATTTGAAGTAGAATAAATTATCACTTACACTATACAAAATGAATCCCGAATGGATTCAAGATCTATATGCGTGCACACACACACACACACACACGCACAAAGACACACACACAAACTTATTTCTGAAATAGAACATGAAAAACAAAAGCTAAGAGGAAGATTGATGACTTTGATGTCAAAGCTAAAAATTCAGCATGACTAGGTATGGTACCAGTTACTAATTTATGCCTCTCAGCTCTAAATTCATTCTTGTCTGCTGTGATATGATTAATATGGACCCTTTAAATATTTCTTCTTTGCCCACTGCAAGATTTTAAGCTTTGTCAGGAGAGAGTACTGAAGGGACGTTGGAGAAGGAGGTTCTGGGGTGCTCCTCTTGGCAGGCTCCTGCCGTGTCCATGGCTTCTGTAGCACCAGGCTTCAGCGCAGGAATGCTCAGAAGAGCATGCAGCTTCCTGGTGGAGGGCCACTGGCATGGTGCCTTCTGTGAAGGGCTTTCTCCTCCTGCTCCCCTTCTGTGAGGGCTGCTTCCCAGCCTCAATGACCTTCTCTGCCATCCAGTGAGCCGTGGTCACACCCTCTCCAATGGATGTCAGCTCTGGAGGGTAGTGGCTGCTCACTATTTCTGCTATCCCTATATTCTTCAGAGTTCTCTTTATTGCTTCCCAGCCAATCCTCCCATTACTTCAACCCCTTGTTATAGTTAATAATCCTTTATATTAAACTTTCTCACAATTTGATTACTGGATGGTTTCTATCTCTTAATTGGCCCATGAGTAATACAGAACTGATACCAGTAGTGGAGTGGTCTTAGGGGACAGACTCACAAAAATGGGGTTTGGGGGTTTGTTTCATTGCACCCTTGGGCTTGAACACAGTGCTGAGCTCCTTGACAATAAGAAATGGAATACTAGTAATCCTTTGCATGCAGTGGCATGACAATTAACCAAGTTATTACCCGTGGTTGATTGTGATGAAGCCTACTGAAGCATATGCCTTGGGAGCCTAATTTGCTACTATACTGACTCTCATGGCAATAATGATGACCATAAATACTGGGGTGTGGGATGGACTTTCTTGGATGCACTTTTTTTTATTTATTTATTTTATTATGTTCTGTTAGCCACTGTATATTACATCATTAGTTTTTGATGTAGTGTTCAATGATTCGTTTGTTGCGTATAACACTTTAAGCACTTACAGAAGAAAATGACAAGCTCTGGTCCTTTAATTCTCAGCTCAGATCATGGTCTGAAAACCAGAGAGCTTCCACGGCAGCCTTTAAAAAAAAATCTCTTATTTCTTGTAGTCACAGGGGTAATACTGCTAAAAAATCAAGCACAAATTTTAATTGTGCAGAATGCTAAATGATAATGACAGTTGAAATCACAATCCTGTCATTTCTCATTGCTGTTGAGATGGGCTCTCATTTCAGTGGTCATGGTGCAATCCCAGAATAGCAGAAGGCAACTGCCAAGGACAAGGTGGGTATGTCTATTATAAAGGGCATCAGGGACATATCAGTATTCAGATTATAGACCTGGCACTTAGATATCTTTGGTGGTCAGCGTGTCCCCCTGAATGAAATCATATGGGCAGCCAATTAAAATATTGCTTGATCTATACAACAGGAAAAGCTCTGGTAGCCAAACACCTGGCTTGAGTTAGCACAGAGGAGAGTCATAGTCTCTCACTCAGATTCCATACCTAAGTCAATTTACAGACCATGACCTCATGGGAGGCTGGATCCCCTTGAGAAAGGACCCTATACCACTGCTGTAGATACACATCATAAATCTTCTTCAAAACATTTTCCTAAGGGATCTGTAATCATTTCCTAGAGTTACTGTTCATCAGAGAAAAAGAAATATCTAGACTATTTGGTGAAGAATAGGCACTACCTCCAAATTAATTCTAATTCCTGGGAACCCAAGGGATGCCTGGCTGGCGCAGTTGGTAGAGCATGTGACTCTTGATCTCAGGGTCATGAATTCAAGCCCCACATTTTGTATGGAACCTTCCTAAAAAATAAAATTGTAATTCCTGGGAACCCAAAACACGCTGTGGCTCACCAGTCAAAATGAAGGCTTACAGTGAGGTAACAGAAGGAGTCTCAGGTTCAAATTACAGTGGACCCAGTCAATCCATGGACCCACCATGTGGTTATTTGCACAGTTCCTGAATGGATAATTGGAATAGACATAATTAGCAACTGAAAACACTCCTATATTGGTTTTTAACCCATGAGTTGAAGGCTCATTATTGTAGGAAGAGATCATTGGAAGCCCCTGGAACTTCCCCTCTCAGGAAAGTAAACTAGAAGCAATTATTATATCCGTGGGGAAACTGCAGAGATTAATGCCACCATCACAACGTAAAGGAAACAAGGGTGATGATACCTATCACACTGCCACTTAAATCACCACTTTGGCCTGTGCAGAAAACAGGTGGATCTTGGAAAATGACTACAGACTATCAGGTTCACATCTTAATGAGGTGGTGATTCCAATTGCAGCTGCTATCTCAGATGTAGTATCTTTACTGGGGCAAATGAGTATCCTCCTGGCATTTGTTATGGGGTTGTTGACCCAATCTCTTACACCTTTTGTTCCGTAACAAATTGTAAGGACCATGAGGAGCAGTTAGCTTTTTACCTGGTAGGGCAGCAGTATACTGTTGAAGTCTGGCCTTAAGACTTTGTCAATTCTACTCTCCGCCATGACAGAGTCTGTAGAGGCCTTGATCATCATGATATTCTACAAAAATCACATTGGTCCACTATGTTGGTAACATTATGCTGATTGGATATGACGAGTAGGAGGTAGTAAATATTTTGGCGCCTTAGTAAAACATACAAGAACTAGAAGGTAAAAGAAAAAATTCCACAGAAATTTAGGGCTATTAGCCCCAGTGAAGTTTCTGGGTGGGTTCAGTGGTTTTGAGCATGTTAAATATCTCCCTCTAAGGAGAAAGACAGTTTGCTTCAGCTCACACTATATACCATGAAAAAAAGGCATGATGCTCAGTAGGCCTTTCTGGATTTGAAGGCAACATGTACCATATTTGAGTTTGCTATTTCAACCCACCTCTAGAGTTACCTATAAGATTACCAATTTTGAGTGGTGAGCAGAGCAAGAGAAGGTTCTGTCATGAGTTTGAGTTACAGTATAAGCTGTTCTGCCATATAGGTCCTATGATCCAGCAGAGCAGGTGATTCTAAAAGTGTCCTGGCATGTATAGAGCCTTTGTCAAGCAGAAACACAGGGCTTAACCCTAGGATTTTGGAGCAAATCTATGCCCTCTTTTGAAGATAACTATTTCTCCTTTTATGCCTTATAGAGACTGATTATCCAGCCATGGGATGGTAGGTGAGCAGGTAGCCTGACCTTCACATCATGAGTTGGGTGTTGGAGAATCTACCTAGTCATAAACTTGAGCATGCACAGCAGCAATCTATCATCAATGGAAATAGTTTACAATTGTTAACTTGCTGGAACACTTCTGAAAGGTACAAATAGCTTCCATGAACATGTGGCTCAGACTCTTTCAACACCAACTCCTGTTGCCTCCTCTTCCTCAGTCAATACCTCTGGTCTGGGGTATTTCTAACAACTAGCTAGCCAAGAAAAAAAAAATCAAACCTTGTTTATAGATAGGTCTGTAGGATATATTGGATCCACCCAAAGGTGGACAGCTGTAGCCCCACCCTCCACTCAAGAGCAAGCCTAAATAAAAGGAGTGCAAGAAAATCTTCCCTGTGCAAAATGCAAGTAGTACATTTGACTGTCCACTGTGTCTGATCTGAGACATGGCCAGAAGTACAAATTCACACTCATTTTTGGGTAGTTGCTAATGGTTTGGTTGGAGAGTCAGACTTGGAGGAAATAGTAAAGGTTGGTGACAAGTAAATGTGGAAAGAAGTATGTGGATGGATCTCGGAATGGGAACACACTGTGAAGATATTCGTAGCCCATGTCACCGAAGGGCATCTACAGCAAAGAAGCCTCTTATTAATCAGGTGGATAAAATAATGCACTCTACGGGTGTCAGTCAGTCTCATTCCCCAGCTACCCCAGGACTTGCTCAGTGGACCCATGAACAACGTGACTATGGTGGCAGAGCTAGAGGCTATGCATGGGCTCAACAACATGGATCTCCCCTTACCAAGGCTGACATGCACTACCCACTACTGCCTAATCTGTCAAGAGCTGAGACCAATACTCAGGCTGCAATATGGTATTAATCTCATGGGTAACAGCCATCCATGTGATAGCAATTTGGTTACATTGGGCCTTTTCCATCATAGAGGACAGAGATTCATCTTGAGTAGAATACACACACATTCTGGATATGGTCTATAAGGCTTCTGCCAGCACTACTATCTGATACACATACTCACAGAATGCCTTATCCACTGTCATGGCATTGCCTATAGCACGGCTTCTAATTAAGGAA